ATTTTCAAGAACAGGGTGCTTCTGTAAGTGGATGGCTGATGGTCCTGGGAGATGACAGAAGAATCTAAGTAAATCCTCAGTTGGCAGACAGTCAGACTGCATGAGGAATATCTCCCCAGCCCACAGTAGGGTTTACTCTCTCACACTACTCTCTTAACATACAACATGAAGTTCTTGACTGATGAACATCTTCCATAAGTAAAGTTGGGTTCATAAGACTCTGTGACTAATGCCTGCCAATACAGAATGAGTAGAAGAAACACGGGCCACCTTTGACCACACTCTGAAACTGAAAGGCTGTGCTCTGCCCCATTCACCCACTGAAACTCATACATGGCAGTGAGCCATCCTCAGCTATGCAAGACAGCAACCAGAAGCCAGAGGCCTGGCACAGGCTTACACTGGTGGCTTCTACCTGGGCTAGTTAAGGGGGAACAATCCTGTTTCCCCTTTATTTTCTCTAGTCTGTAGGAGCGACTAAAATACATCTCTATAATACATACTCTGCCTAGAAGAACACAGCCTGTTTCATTCTTCTAGATAGCGTCCAAGTGGTTGCTAGAGGCATGCCTGGCTCATCAGTGCCTGAAGAATGTGGTCACTGAATTGTTGGTCTGGAAGAGACTCAAAATGTCACCTGGCCTGGACAAAAGAAACATATGCAACTAGAAAAGAGGGACATAGCCTCTACCCTAAGAAGCTGAAGGGTGACTTTTTACATTTATTATTGTTGTGTGTATGGTATATCAGTGAAGATACAGTGAGCTTGCCATATGTATGGAGGTTAGAAGACAGTTTTATGACATTGGTTTTCTCCTTCCACCGTAACATGGATTCCAGGGACTAGATAGGTCATCAGGCATGTTTGGCACGGGTTGCACAAGGCTGATTTCAGCCCTACTGTGACGTCACAACTGGACCAGCTCATCTGGATTATAATGAGAATAGTGAGATGATGGTAGTGATTATGATTGGGCTTTTTAAGGGGGCGGGTGTTGGTTTGTTTACTTGAGACAGCATGTCTACATAGCCCTGGATGTCCTGTAACTCACCATGTAGACCTGGCTGGCCTTGAACTCACAAAGATATTTCTGCCTCTGCCTCCCAAGTTCTAAAGTTAAAGGTACCTACCATCACACCCAGCTATAAATTGAGATTATTTCTCTAAGATAATCCAGCCCCTTTGAGGCAACTGTACCTGAAACATGGGTGTCCTGTCTCAAGGACTTGTGCCCACTACCATCTGGCCCCCTCTTCTGACTGAAGAGACAAGCACCTCACCCACTATCATAGCAGACCAGGGACAACCTGGCACTATTTTAATTCTGACTCAAAAAAAAAAAAAAAAAGATCTGCTTCTGTCCTATGTGCTGGTGTGCTCCTTTAATTCTAACATTCAGGAGGCAGAAGCGAGAGGATCTGAGTTCAAGCCTAGCCTGGTCTACAGATCGAGTTCCAGAACAGATAAGACTACACAGAGAAACCCTGTCTCAAATAAAACAAAAGAAAAAAATCGGCATATAAGGAAATCCCAGTCATTCTGGCTCCATCACTTTTACTGAACAACGTAGTCACATACACCGCCACTGGAAGTTTCAGAAGGCAAGCTGAGTAGGGAAACTGGGCAGAAGTGTCAGAGCATGAATTTGGTGTGGAGGGCAAGCGTTGAGGACAAGCCCAGCTGTCAGAACCAAAGCACCATGAGGGGGGAACTCTGGGAGCTCCAGATGGTTGGATATGGTAGGATCAATGGAAAATTTGATCAGGGGTTATGGATTAAGCTTATATCAAAAATAAGAGTTGTAGATACCGAGCAGGACGGAGTTAAAATGACCCCTCTGGTGCTGGACTAGATCTGAAAATGCTGGTGTAAGCCCCCAATTGCTAATATAAAAAGGTTAGGAATAAATGCCAATCTCTATGTCTGCTCAAGATGAGGACCTAGTGCAGAGCACCCTCACATCAACAAGCTTACTGATACCAGACATCTATTTTTAAATATGTAACAGTGGAGCCAGAGAGATAACTCTGTCAGTAAAATCATTGCCTTGCAAGCATGAGGTCTTGAGTCTGAGCCCCAGAAACCAAGGGGGGCAGGGGAACCTGGCATGCTATTATGCTACACTTCTAGACCACTGAAGATAGAGCCTGGCAGATCTCTGAGGCTCTCTTTGACTGGACATTCAATCTAGTCTACTTGGTGAGTTCAAAGATGGTGAGTTGTTGTCTCAAAAAGAGTTGACCTGTGACTTTCACATGCACACAAACACACATACCCATGCACCAGCATACACATGGGAAGGCATACACAATAAAATTAGAGAAGGAAATACTTTACAGTGGGTGATGCTGCAGATGTCTCCTTAAAAATACACGCCACCTGATAGGAACAGTGGTCTGAAGCACCAATGCTGAGGGTCACCTATGACTTCCAAAGTCAGGGCCACAATGTCAAGACAAAAGGCCACTGGAGAGTGGTGTTGCTGGGAGCATAACCAAAGTTTAATAAGATCAAAAGACTAGATCTAACATATTGGCAGTTGTCTTAGCTGTTTCTATTGCTGTGAAGAGACACCTTGACCACAGCAGCTCTTCTAAAGAAAACATTTAATTGAGGCTGGCTTACAGTTTAGAGGGTTAGTGCATTATCATCATGGCAGGAAGCATGGTAGCATACAGGCAGCCATAGTGCTGAGAAGGAACCAAGAGTTCTACATCTGGATCAGCAGGCAGCAGGAAGAGAGAAAAAGCCACTGGACCTGGCTTGAGTTTCTGAAATGTGAAAGCCTGCCCGCAATGACCTACAACACTTCTTCCAATAAAGACACACCTACTCCAACAAAGCTATACCTCTAATACGAGTACTCCCTGAGTCTACGGGGCCCTATTTCATTCAAAACACCACAGCAGTAATGTACTAATTTCCTAGTTTTGATGGCTGCATACTCACAGGAAATTGTCATTATTTATAGGAAACATTCTTGAAAGCTGTCCTCTGGCCTTTTTTACATGTGCACTGTGACATATGTGCACACGCAAAATAAATAAATGAAATTTAAAAATTTTAAATAATGTACAAAAATCTACTTGTCTGCTGGCTAAGGCCAAGTATAAAATAAAATATAAACATTCTAAAGAGGGTGGGGGGACAAGGTCCTGGAAACATGGTCCAGTAGTTAACAGCACTGGCTTCTCTTCCAGATGACCCAGATTCTATTCCCAACACCCAAATAACAGATAACCAACCTGTTGAGCTGCAGTTTCAGACGGTATAACCTCTTCATACTTTCTCCCTCCTGGTGCTTTCATGAAAATTACATAGGTAATATTTTAGTGCTTTGAGAATTGCCTGGACACCCTGTAAATCTCAATCAAACAAGCAGAATTTCCTACAGAGCTGTTCAGACGGGTTAACCTCACACACAATCATCATGGAGAGGAGAGTGATGGAAAAATCTAATCACACTTCTTTTCTGAAAGATTATGTGTATGTTTGTCTGCATGAGTTCATGTCCACATACGTGTTCACGTGCCTGCAGAGATGAGAAGAGGACAACAGTTTTCCTGGAGCTAGAGCTGAGGCAGTTCCAAGCCACCACATAGGTGCTGGGAACCCAATTTGGGTCCTCTGGACTAGAGGTAAGCACTCTGAATCACTGAGCCATCTCTTTAACCCCTTAAACATATTCTTAACTTAAAAGGTAGAAACTGTTTGGTACTTGGGGCTTACCCCATGGAAGTGCAGGTGAACTGTGTAGCTAACAGAAGTGTGCTGGCAGGTAAGGAACCTGATGGAAGTGGAGTAGTAAGCTCGGCATGTCTGCTGACTGGAAACTTCCAGTCAACTCTAACATGGCTTGAGCAACAGTGACACCTGCAGGTTAACACTGTAAAGACAACTGAGACTTCCACTCAAGACCTGGAGATAGGTAGGTTTCTATCTCTAGCACTGCATTAAACTGGCATGGTGGTGTACAGCTGTAATCCCAGTACTGGAGAGGTGGCAGTCTGATCAGGAGTTCAATGTCACTGTCAGCTACACAGTAAGCTCAAGGCCAGCCTGGACCCTGCATTTAAATGGGGGGTAGAAAGATGGCTCAGCAGGTAAGAGCACTTGCTGCTTTTCCAGAGGATCTGGGTTCAACTCCAGCACCCACTCATCAGCTCAGAGCTATAACTCCAGGCCCGAGGAGTCAACACACTCTTGTGGTTGGTGCAGACACACATTTAGGCAGAAGACCCATACTCATAAAAATATATTAACAGGCAGGGCTAGGAAGATAGCTCAGTGAATCAAGCACCTGCCACACAAGCATGAAGGAGGGAGTGTGGACCCCGGCACTCACAGACACAGGGTAGGCACAGCAACCGCTTGTAATCCTGACAGCAGAGACAGATGGAGGATTTACAGGCGGCTACACAGGATCGCTAAATCAGCTCAGCTTCAATATGTAAAGTAGATAACCATCACACATGACCTGTGTACACATGCACGAGTGCCCGCTTTCATGGGCAACTTCAGTCCCAAAGTTCCCAGCAAGTCCTGGGACAAGAAAGAAGGACTGTCTACCCTACACATTTCTTTCAGGAGCAGTCATAACTGGGTGAATAGTCTTTGTCATTAGAGCCTTATTTTTGTTGCTGTGGTGCTAGGATTTGAACCCAGGACTTCACACATGCCCAGCAACCATTCACAAGTGTGTTAAGTCCCTCACCTCACCTAACAATGACCCACTGTCATTTAGAACACTGCAAATCACATACATGAAACTGTGCCCCAGCATGTGAGGGGTACCTCTCCCCTTACATCCCTACCAGGAGGGGACCATGAATCTTTAGCACTACTCAGAAGACAGTCTTCACATCTCTCTACTGCAAAGACTTCTTCCTGTCTATTCCGTTTTCCGTGTCCCCAACCTCCTATGTTGGCATGTTCTTTACTAAGAAATGATTAGCTGTAATTAAAAAGTAACTAGTGACACAAAAACTCACCAAACCTATCTTTTGCTAAACGTAGCTAGATTGTTAATATTTAATTTTGGATTTTTGATAAATGAGTATCTTGATTTAGTCAGGGGTCTGGGATCACTGGAGGTTAGTCACTGCTGTCCTCAAATCGGTCATTTATCCAGGGCAAATCAGAGTCCTCTTAGGCATCTTCAGAGTAGCCGAAGGAATGGCTAAGTGATGCCAAGCTGACGCAGTGTCACTGAAACTTGATTCCTTGAGCCAGAGGGAGGGACGTGCTGTAGTTGATGGTACTGGGGAAGAGAAGGAAATGAATGGCAGCACACACATAATATACAATCCTTTCATAACATTAAAGACATCGGTCCATTTATAGTATCAACTTACAGTCGGTAAAACAAACAAACAATCAGTATACAAAACAACATCAGTACTATTCCTTACCATGGAAAAAGACAAGCATAAACAGCTAGAACACACAAATCACCTGCTACCTATAGTTTTTCTTTTGATCATAATACAAGAACAGGGGCGATGTAACTTTCTCTCTTAACTTATTATCAGGAGAAATGTAAATATTCTCATTTTGGTAAGAATATAGTAATTTTTTTAAAGTTTGTATTTCTTTTCTCAAACTAGTTACCATGATGCACTCGGAATTTCTCCTGAGAGGAGAAGTATTCTGAGCCAACAAACTCTAAGAAAATACAAGAAAGGTAAAACAAGTCCCAGACAGCATCTCCAGAAGGCGGCTTCCTCAGTCATCATGCAAATATCCTAGCAACTCGGCCTCTAGAGTCTTGCTCATACTTCCAAGCTGGTCCCCCTCCCCTAAACTTGAAGGCCAGACCCCCAACCTCCTCTCTAACTTCACTATGCAAGAAAACTCCATCACGGGAGAGACGGAAAGGACGGCTCCTTACACCTCCTCATGCTGAGTGAGCCAGTGTCCTGCTCCTTCCTGTCCCATCTCTGGGATAGGACCCAACAAGGAAACTTCAGCGTCCATTGCTATGCTAGACAAGAAGGCTGGAAGGCACAATCTTTCACTGGAAATGTGTGGGAAACACTTTTTCGGACTCTTTTCTGATTTTTGGAATATGTGACTATACAGAGGATAGGACTCAAGTCTCCCCATCAAGTCCATTCCTGTTTCCTATGCCTCTGTACACTGCCTCAACTGTATACATTCCTAGTGATACCTCCACTGTGACTGCTACTCATCACATGATGTCATGCTCATGCAGAGTTGTTTTTCAGATTTGGGAACATTAGTGATGCTTAAGCATGCAGGCTAAAAAAAAAAAAAAAGGAGGTAGCTGCAAAGTATAGAAAAGTAAAATCAAGAGAAACTGAGCAAAGACAAAACTGGAAGGCAGGAGAGCAACTGCCTGCTCCCAAAGGCTTCAAGACCACACCCTCCTCCCCAGAGCCTTTCCTTACCATGTGGATCTCCGCATGTACTGCTTCCAGGCATCGCTGCCAGATTCCCGGCCACCACCGGTGTGCTTCTCTCCTCCTACAGAAACACAAAGCCATCTCACATCCTTCCCCGCAGGCTCTCACCAGTGCTATCAGATTTAGACAGACCACTGCATAGGGCAATCCACACCTATAATCCTACCACTCTGAGACTGAGGCAGGAGGATTATTAGTTCAAGATCAGCCTGGGATATGTAAGATGAAGTGCTTGTCCCCCACAAAAAGCAAAAGAAAATGGAAGAGAAGATGGAAGGGGTTGTTGACAGTGGCGGCTGGAGAGATGGCTTGGTGCTTAGGAACACTGGCTGCTCTTCCATTAGGACCCAGGTTCAGTTCCCAGCACCCATAGAGAAACTCATAACCATCTGTAACTCCAGTTCCAGTGCCCTCTTTTTAGCCCCTGTAGGCACCAAGCATGTAAGTGGGTGTACATACACACACACACAAACACACACTGGCAAATATTCATAGATATCAAAATCAATAAGTCTTTAAAAATGTTTAAACAAGAAAAAAAAGGAAGGGGGGCTGGAGAGATGGCTCAGCGGTTAAGAGCACTGATTGCTCTTCTAGAGGTCCTGAGTTCAATTCCCAGCAACCACATGGTGGCTCACAACCATCCGTAATGGGATCCAATGCATTCTTCTGGTATGTCTGAAGACAGCTACAGTGTACTCATATAAATAAAATAAATAAATCTTTTAAAAAAAAAAAAAAAAAAAAAAAAAAAAGAAAAAGAAAAAAAAGGAAGGAGATCAACACAGAGACCCACAACTGACCAATGCAGAGACTGAGAGACTTTGGAGTACTCTGCCTTAAAAGGGATGTCATCAGAGGCAGGCAGCTCTCTGTGAGTTACTGTCTGGCCTGGTCTACAGACTGAGTTCCAGGACAGACAAAGCTTCAGAGAAACCTTTAGGGGTTGGAGGTGAAGACTAAACAAACAAAAGGATGTCATCAAACCCCTTCCCTCAAGGTACATAGATCTATATTGAAGAGGAAGCAGAAAAATTGTAAGAACGAGAAGGGGTGGGTGATCCCAACCAAAGTGTCTTCCAAACACAACAGAACTGAGGCACATATGAACACAGAGACTGGCAACACACACAAAACCTCTACAAGTTCAAACCAGAAGGGATTCCAGCTCCAAAACGGGAAATGAAGACCAGGCCCCACCCCTAACCAAGAAACTATGTATAGTGACAGCTAACGGTAAAGAAGAAATCCGCCTTCTTCAGCAGCACAGCAATGCAATGCTGACTAGTAATTAGTTAGCCAAAACAAAGTGAGCTCCACAGGGCTTTCAGAATTTGTATTTAGCTTTAGTGGTTTTTGTCTTGTTAGTCTTCTGCTTGTTTGATTAGTGTGTGTGTTTTGAAGAGAGAGAGAAAGCATAAAGTTGGATTAGGGAGGTAGGAAGGCTCTGGTAGGCAACTTAAGTTTACTATAAAGTGTTGTGTTTGGGGTTTTGTTGTTTTCTTTTTTCAATCTAGGTCTTGCTAGCCTGGTACACAGTCCAGGCTGGCCTCAAATTTATGGCAATCCTCTGCCTCAGCCTACCAAAAGCTGGTTTGTTTACTATTTTTGTGTTACATTGATTTGTGTGTATGTGTGTGCATGTCCATGTGCATGTGTGTTCATGAGTATTCATACCACAGCATGAGCATAGAGACCAGAAGACAACCTTCAAGAGTTGGTTCTTTCCTTCTACCATATGGAGACTAAACTCAGATTCTCAGGCCTGATGGTGAGAACCCTAACCCACTAAGCCATCTTGCTGGTCCCACTATGAATAATTTTAAACAAATACAACTGAGTATATGCATTACCACCACCACCACCACCACCACCCCCAAAAAAAAAACCAAGCAAGCAAACAAAAAACTACCACTAAGCATGCATCAGTAACTCACATCTTATTAAGAAAAAAGACGAACGGGCCCGGTGAAGAGTATTTCATCTAGAGAAAGGTAAGATGCTGAAGATACAAGGTGAGGAGCAGATAAAGACCTGAGTGGATGCATGCTGTTGCCATGAGCACAGACATGCCAGGGACCCAATGGGAAGGCCTTCCCGGGTCTGAGTATGGGTGCCCACCCACAGTTGTCCTTTAGGAAAAACTTGTGTGTGTGCAAAACATTTCAACCACAGCTCCTTCATCCTGAGAATTGCAACCTGAGGCTGCCTCCCACAGTGCCTTCCTGTGGAAATTAGCCGCTTCCTCCTCCTCCTCCTCCTCCTCCTCCTCCTCCTCCTCCTCCTCCTCCTCTTCCTCCTCTTCTTCCTCCTCTTCTTCCTCTTCCTCCTCGTCTTCCTCCTCCTCCTGTCCTCACTATAGATAATAAATGCACACAGTTCCCAGGCTGCTGGTGGTGTATCTCCATCAGACTGCAAAGTCCACCAGACCTCAGTGTTTCTGTATGTATGCCTGCCTGACTGCCTTCCCTCCCTCCCTCCATTCCTCCCTCCCTCCATTCCTCCCTCCCTCCCTTCCTTTCAGATTTATTTATTTTATGTGAGGACACTGTTGCTCTCCTCAGACACACCAAAACAGAGCATCAGATCCCATTATAGGTGGTTGTGAGCCATCGTGTGGGTGCTGGGAATTGAACTTAGGACCTCTGGGAGAGCAATCAGTACTCTTAACAGCTGAGCCAGATCTCCAGCCCCCCTGCTGTTTCTTCATTTTTTTTTTCTCCCATCACCTAGGTCAATCCCTAAATCTGCCACACAATATATTGTTTTCTGGCTTTGATTTGAAGTAGAGGTTTTTAACCATTCTGGGTCCGGGATCTTCTTCCTAGAAAAAATACTGAATTTCCAGGTTCATATATCTCGGACTAAGAGCCCTGATCCAACCTAAGCAGAAGATGAGCGCGCGCGCTCTCTCTCTCTCTCTCTCTCTCTCTCTCTCTCTCTCTCTCTCTCTCTGTGTGTGTGTGTGTGTGTCTCCCTGTGTGTGTTTGTGTGTGTATGTGTGTGTGTGTGTTTCAAGACAAGGTTTCTCTGTGTAGCTCTGGCTGTCCTGGGACCCTGGGACTCACTCTGTAGACCAGGCTAGCCTCAAAAATCAGAGATCCACCTGCCTCTGACTCCCAGGTGCTCTGCTGGGATAAAAGGCATATGACACCACCTCCCACCTTGTGTTTCCAGTTCTTGACAAATTTCTAAAGATGAACTCTACTCTTTCTTTCCTGCTCAATGCAGAAAATGAGCAATGAGGGCAGAGGCTCTCGGTCAATGGTGCAGTACTGGCCTAGCATACATGTCACCCAGGTTCAGTCTCTAGAACCAAACATAAAGGCATCTTTTAAGAAAAGATGAGTCTCTACATACCAAACGCACCGCCGATCTCAGCCCCGCTGGTGGGAATATTGACGTTCACAATGCCACAGTCTGAACCTTTAGGTCTGTGTGTGAGGAGAGGAACAGTGAGAAGAACATACAGGAAATAAAACCAGAACGAAACAAAGCACAGACACTCGGGGTTGCGCTGTGAACACGATCACTCACCACCACCACATCAGACTTACATACATTTTCAACAGACTAAGTTATACCCAAGCCAGCGGAAGATTCTGCCCAAATCCTTGGTAAAGATACTACTCGAAAGTCCCTGTTTTACTTCATTGTTCCATTCAAAGACCTCTTCTTCATTCTAGAAGGATAGAGAAGACCAGGAGCTGTTAGTGTTTCTGGTCTTACTGTGATCAGGTCAAAGATCATTTCATAAAATGTAGTTTTGGTGCACAGAAGAAAACCAAGAGTTAGCGCTTGCTTAAATCTGATTCTGTCACGGTTTGGGTCTTTGTTTTTTTACCTGGAATTTGAAGACATAAAGAATTGGGGCAAAAGTCTCCTTGTGAACAATGGGTGCGTCATGGGCAAGACCAGTCACAATGGTGGGCTCCACATAATTGCCAGGATGATCCATGACCTTAAGTAGAAAGATTTAAAAAAAAAAAAAAAAAAGAATGGATTTGCTTTTTCAGGACTTGGGGTCAGTGTACATCAGCCTTGCTTACATTTACTAGGAGAAAGCAAAACAGTATTTAACGTAAATTACTTCTCTAAAGCCGCATCTTTTGGAATAACTAATCTAAATAGTCTTACCAGCACACCAAGATTCCTTCCATACAGAGTTCTAGGGACCAAGAGAGGCAACTGTGACTGATTCCTTCTGTGTCTCTTGCATTTTCTGCCACTATTCCTCAAAACCCTTTTCCCTTGTAAGAGAGATGGGGAGAAGAAAAGCAGCTATATGGGACCTGTCACCAGTGTTTCTCAGTGATGTTTGTGCTCCAGAGGAAGAAAGGAACAAGGCTATCCCCACCTACCCAACGCTCTGATTACCTTGCCCCCATAGACCACTGTGCCTCCTTCCTTCTTTGCTTCTTCCACGGCTCTCACAAACATGCTCACCGCCTGTTTGGTGTGGAGAGGTCCATAGAGAATATTGGCTGGGGAGAGAGAAGGGATGCTCTTTGCTTTGCCTATAGTAGCATCACCACCCCCAACTCAAAACGTCAGAAATACATGTATACCAGCTGTCAAAAGGAAATAATTTGTAAAAACAGAACAAGTTACTCACGGTCCCAGGGGTTTCCAACACGGATCTGTGAGTAGGCATTTTTCAGTCTGTCTACAACTTCATTATGGATGCTTTCATGCAAAAACTATGTGAAGAACAGACATTCAAGAGAATAGCAAAATGAATACAAGTCTTAGGAGAATGAATAATATCTTCAACAGTACTGATTAGTAGCTACTAAGATAATATAGACTCCGATAACAAACTAAAACCATGCTTTTAATTGTGTATTTTCTAGTTTTAATATTAACTACATATAAATAATAATTTCTTCTAGGTAGGTGTTGAAATAAAACCATAAACCATAGCTGGGGATCTTGCAGGTTAGCTGGTCATAAGCTCATTTAGCACTCATACACCCTGGGCTTGACCCTCGCCACATATAATCAGTGTGGCACATCACATGCCTATAAGCCCAGTATTGAGAGGTAGAGGTAGGAAAATCAGAAGTTCAAGGCTATCCTCACCTACACAGGAAGCTTGAGGCTAGCCTGGGATACATGAGACCCTGTTTTACACAAACAAAAGGCACCCAAAAAAGAAAACCCAAACAGAACACCATAAACCATGTCTGTACCAAGTTTCTAAGAACCTCATCTGCTAAGCTACACGAATCCATTGTTCTTATTTTTGTAATACAGAACTTAATATAGTAACTTGGGTCTACCTGTCCCAAACTGTAACTGTGAGTCTTAGTAAACTTAGAAAACTGTGGGACTCATTGAGTCGGGGCAACCTCAGATGAGTCACCAAAAATACTGAGTTTCCAACCAGCTGTAGACAAGGATACTAATATACTTTATGCTATATTCTTTTATTTACATATAGAAGAAAGACAGAGTATATATTCTATATATGTGTGTGTGAGAGAGTGTGTGTATGTGTGTGGTATACATGTGCATGTGGTGTGTATTTTAAAGACATTGCCCAGGCTAGACTCAAATTCCTGGACTCATAGGACTCTCAGACCTCAGCCTCCCAAGTTCTAGGATTATAGGTCCACATTGCCACCTCTGCTCAAACCATACCTACTCGTAAGGAAAGAACAGACATGACAGGCATTTGGTTTTCAATAAGCCATATAACATTAAGTCAAATCTGAGACTTGAGACCAGAACAAAATACTTGAAATGTTTATAAAAAGCAATGCTATTGGTTAGAATTTAATCTGTCTCATCTCTAGAAGACATCGGTCACATTTGCCATGAAGTCTAACTCAAAGTTGGTACCACTTCTAAGTCTAGCTTGTCAACCAGTTGCAAACCCACTGCAGCTCAGGGTGGGTTAACATCTGCCACCACACAGAAGGAAAGGAATGCACACACTTGCCACTCATGTTTAAGGAATATATTTTTCTAGCAACACGTCTATGGCTCCTGCCAACAGAATCCACTAAACTGAAGTTTAAAAGCAGAAGAGGTGACTTATCAGTTAAAGAGCTCTTGCTGCTCTTCCAGAAGACCCAAGTTTGGTTGCCAGGACCTACATTGGGCTGTTCACAACCACCTATGTCTCCTGTTCCAGGAGACCCGATGCCCCTAGGCCTCCGAGAGCACCTGCACACAGCACACAGAGCGTGCACAGACACACACACACCTACATTCAAAGAAAGAAAAAGGATGATCTTAGGCACATACATGGACACACTCACCAGTCGCCTCACAGTGGTACACCTTTGGCCAGCTGTTCCCACGGCGGCAAACAGAGCCGATGGAAGAACCAAGCTAAGGTCTGCGTCCTCGAAAGCTTAACAAAGTACAAATGTGTGTCATCAGTGTGCAGTAGGCAAAGCATTTCTAAGCAGTATAAACAGTGCCTTTAGAAAATACAGTAACAACAGAAAGATCACCCCAAAACTGAAGATCCGTGGTACAGATGCACATTTGAAGGGGAAGCCACACTTCTCTAGAGAGTGTATGACAGAGCAAGGGGTTCTCCGAACTCTACCCAGATACACAGGTAAACTGAGGCTCATCTGTTTCAGAGACCCCTTGCTACTGCCTCCATGAAGACCCATGAGCTCCACCACTATCTGGGTACACCCTTGTCCCAGTCCACTCCCTGCTGCCATGAAGCTTCCTGTTCCTACCTGAGTCAGCCCACCGTCTGCTGCAGAGGACAATCAAAGCTTGCCCTCAGAAGGAGAAAGGGACAATCTTTGCATGGTAACCTCTGCAAGGGTGATTTACTACTATTTATTATTTATTTATACTATTTATCCTCCCTGCTTCCTGTGCCTTCCACAGTCTTACAGCTACTGTCTCCTCCTATGCCACCACCGTCACCTGTCTAACCTCAGCATCCTCCAATCAGGATGACGGAAAGAATGCATCACACACACAGACTAGACTTCCTACCCATTTCCGTGACTCTTTTTTTTTTTTTGGTTTTTCGAGACAGGGTTTCTCTGTGTAGCCCTGGCTGTCCTGGAACTCACTCTGTAGACCAGGCTGGCCTCGAACTCAGAAATCCACCTGCCTCTGCCTCCCAAGTGCTGGGATTAAAGGCGTGCGCCACCACCGCCCGGCTCCGTGACTCTTTTAATTCCAGTGTTTTATTTTCTTCCTCCCAGTTCTGGGGACCAAATCCAGAGTTGTGTACTTCTGAGGCTTTGTGCTGTGGCCTTGCCATCAGGTCTCAGAGCACAGTGCTGTCTTTAAGTCCTTCCTTTCATCCATTCAGACAGAAGGCATCACTACCCTATGTTACAGATGAAGAAACTACGGCTTTAGAAGCTGCATAGCAGTTAGGGAATTAGCTCAGCAGTATAAGAGCATGTACTGCTCTGGAAGACAACCCAAATTTGGTCCACAACAATCTTGTAAGGCAGCACACAACCACCTAACTCCATCTCTGAGGACTCTGATGCCCTCTTCTGGCTCCTCAGGTACCTGCAATCCCCTGCACAAACACACGCATGCACGCATACGCATGCGCACACATAAACACACATAAAAACAAAATCTTTTTTTTTTTTTTTTTGAGCCAGGGTTTCTCTTTATAGCTGGGGCTGTCCTGGAACTCACTCTGTAGACCAGGCTGGCCTCAAACTCAGAAATCCGCCTGCCTCTGCCTCCCAAGTGCTGGGATTAAAGGCGTGCGCCACCACCGCCCGGCTAAAAACAAAATCTTAAAAAGCAAAAAAAAAAAAAAAAAGGAAGTGTCCCTTCCTAACAAGAAAGCCCCTGATATGATGCAACTAAATGTCAACTTTGTGTCTGAAACCTAAAGAAATCAGCAAGTCACTTAGGAAACAATCGATTGTCCTAGGAAAACATATAGCCGGTTTCTGGAAAACAAGAGAAGAAAAAAGATGAAGAAGTAATGTCATGTTAGAGACAATAGAAGTCTTGTGGCCACATTCAAGGGCCCACATGAATCTGGCGTCTTCTCAGCTCCATCTTCCTTTCAGCCAAGTTCATGTCAACTCCTAAGGAAAATTCCTAAAGATGGGAACTGGGTCCCAAGCAGAGAGCACGGGAAGATGAGTTTCTATGCAAGTACCAGATATTCAATGACTGCAGACAGCAAACTGAAGAGAAAGCAAAGCCAAATGGGGCAGCCTTACCAATAATGGCATTATTTCCTCCAAGCTCCAACAAGCTTTTCCCTTTAAAAGAAAACAGACAGTTAATCTCTACTCAGTGCTCAATGTACACTGTCTCACAGTAGGACCATCCAGTTATCTTTCCATTTACTTTCTGATTAATAAAGCAGTGTAACAATGACATTAATGGCAACTATATCATTGTACAGTGATATGTACATATGAGAATGGTATTCTTGGGAAATACCGTGAAAGTGGACATGAATCACACACACATTCTATGTGGGCGAGCCCATGCACAATGCATGCTTCTACAAAGAGTAAATGACAAAGCATTAGGCAAATAGCTGCTGCTACTGTCAGCTCTGGTCAGAGAAACTTCCTTCTGTGAAGTTCAGCAGTGACTGTTGAGACTCATATGATCTAAGTACTGAGAATTAACAACTACTGAATGCCCACCATGAACAGGATGGGACATCTCTATCATGCCCGGGAGAAATCATGGAAGGAGACAGCAGTGGGAACAGTGACTTCCAGGCAGGATCTGGCTATCTATGGCAATTAGCTCAGTGTGGCCGTGTGACCACCTGCACAAGATGGGGCCTGTCAACATCATGGAAAAGGAGGAACTCATGGGGTCCCACCACTCCCTGAGGACTTTATACATAGTTGATGGCTGATGGAGAAAGGAGAGAGATTTTCTTCAGAGGTATAGCGACTGGTACAGCGTCTGTGCTCCTGTAAACAAACCCTCACCCTCAATCCTTCACACAACCCTAATTAAATTTCATTGGGGGCCTGACAAGATGGTCCAGCAAATAAAGGTGCCTGCAGCCAAGCCTGAGTTCAATCCCCAAGACCCACATGGTAGGAAAGTACTGACTCCTGCTAACTGCCCTTTCACCTCCACATGTGCATTATACACACGCACGGTCGTACGCACGCACGCACGCACGCACACACTAAAACCTAACAGAAAAAGGTTTTTTGAAGACACCAGGTCTCTCACACACACAAAAGACATTAACGAAAGAAGGGAGTAGTTAGAGAAAAGCAGAAGATGTGGGAGGCACAAGGGAAGATAATGGGGTGGGTAATTCCAGCAGTGGGAAAAACAAAATCCCTGCACATTAGAACACTGTGATTTAATCATTCAGTGTTGAATTTATTAATTGTTAGTTGTCAGTTTTATTTCACTATCTACTCAAGTCACTGTTAAAATGTGTGACAAGCAGGGCTCTTGACTTTTGACACCAACTCCCTCACATCCAGAGACATCATACAGACCTCTCTGAGCATGGGCTCATCTCATTCTCCCTGTGGACAAATGAAATCGGCCACAATATTATGGCTATGTGTTTTGTTCTGCTCCTTTGAATATATGTGTCCTCTAAAATAACTTATCTGAAGTGTCAGGACCCTGATACAGGAGAGTACATTCTCAGCATCACGGCTCTGAAGCAGGTGAGCATTCAGTACCTAGTACATATGAAAGCTATGGCTGCTGTCTGCAAAGCCTGAGACTATACCATCTCTAGCTTCTGAGGCAGGAATTGATTTAATGACAGCTCACTGGCAACAGCACAGCAGTATGCTAGGTGCTAAGAAGAAATAGAAGATTCTGCTGTACAGAAGACAGCAGTTTCTCCTTCCTGGATGCAAGTGATATTTGGCAAAACCTCCCTCCTAACTGCCAATCCACAGTCCCCTCCCAAACAAAAGTGCCTATCATTTAGGATAGCAAATGCATTCAGGAGTTTGCAATTCTACTACACTACTTATGCAAGAACAACAAACTACTGCTTTGTGTAAGGGGACGGTGAGGAGGTGGCAAACTGCCCCATGACGAGGCATGAATGAAGCTGAGAATCAATTTTCCAATTTATTATACACATGAGGTGTTTGTTGAAATCTATTGCACATTTTTCCGTTATTATTTCTCTTAATTTATTTTGTGTGTGTATGTATGTGTGAGAGAGAAAGAGTGTGAGAAAGAGTGAGAGTGAGAGAGAGAGAGAAAGAGAGAGAGACAGAGAGACAGAGAGAATGAGAGAGAGCACACAAGAGCACAGGCATTACAGCATACATATAGATAATTTTTAGGGAGTTTGCTCTTTCCTTCTTCGTTTATGAGGCGGAGTCCCCCGTATGTTAATCACTGGGCTATATATATGTGTGTGTGAGTTTCAGGTGATTCCTCTCTCTCTCTCTCTCTCTCTCTCTCTCTCTCTCTCTCTCTCTCTC